TGCCTTAAGTTAATTCCTAAAAACTAAATGCACATTTTAATAGTTCACTGAATAGGTGTAGGCTGGGTATACTTATGTCTACACTTTTTCCAAAATAGGATCAATCTTATTTTTCATTCTTCTAACACATCTATTTTTTCAATTGTATAGCTTAAGTTTTGGCACAGTTCAATTTTAAAGTTTGAAAGATAGGTAATAGTTACAGTATCTTCCACAACAAACCCAGCTACAGTTAACATTATGTTTATAATTGTTTCATTATGAGGTACTCTTCCTTTCCAAAACTGGCTGCAGAACATGAATGGTAGTTTTATAAGTGGAACACAGTGGGATACAGCATTCATATCTTAATGTTTGGTGTTTTTTTTTCTTCTCCACATGCGTGAAAAAGAGGTTAAACCTGATACAAATTGTATCTCTACCATTATTTGATTTCTATTTTACTTCTAGATGATGCTTTTACTTTTACATTTCCCGCAGTTTAGTCTGCATTCTAGTTTTACCTGTCTTTTAAACGCAATTCCTTTTGTCTTTGGCCTTGTTTGAAGTTTGAAAATATCATTCAAAGTTAAGAGATGGTCTTTAATTGCTATTTTAATTTCAGCTTCTGAAGGAAATAAGATAGCTGTTGTGAAATCTTTATAAATACAAAAATGTAAAAATATGCAGTAAGTTTTACTTTCTTTAGAAACCTTTCCACATGTAGGATCTTACAAAATACTCAGCTACATGTAGGTGCAATAGCCAAAGATTTACTTAAACTGTAGTAAGTTGTAACTTAAGGCTCATATAACTTTCCTGCATAAAATTCTCATTTTCTTTTTCTCAATTATAGAATTCAACAATTTATGTATACCGATGATTATTAGTGTAAAATAAACAGTAATTAATATACAAATCTAGCAATAATTTGTATAAACACATACTAAATCTGCAACTAGGAAAGTCAACGGACAATACGTTTCAAACGTAATTATGAAAAAATAAGACTTAAACTAGATCCAAATATACCACCAAGAATTAGCATGTTTTAGTATTTTAACGCTAGCAGTGTAGAAATTGGAAGAAATTTTATGTTAAATAACAATCTTCTTTGAACATTGAAAATAATTAATAACCTAATAACCTTGATATCTGTCATTAACTCGTGTCTAGACACACACATGGTTCTTTCCCACAGAAGCATTCATTTCCTTAAAGAAGAAAACTGCTGGTACTATATGTACAGCTGTGCTCATGAGGATATAGAAATGGATGCACAACTTCTATTATCAATCATTCAGGAAACATTGGTATTTCTACTCTTTTTCTCTTGTTTTTACCAAAAATCAACACCTCATGACAAACAGAAAATGTTTAACTATTTAAAAACTTTTGTAAGGAATATATTACTGTGTCTCAAATGAATAGTTTTTTTCTAAAGTGTTTTATGTCATACTGTAAAACGAGAGTCTGTGTGTTACCTTATAGGAACATGCACATGTAGCTTTAATGTTTTATAATTTTTATATTACATATATCACTGATACAACATGGACAAATCATGCTTTTAGTTATTATTTTGCCCCCCAGTGGCACAGCGGTATGTCTGCAGACTTACAATGCTATAAACCGGGTTTCAATACCCATGTTGGGCAGATACAATATGGACAATTATGCTTTTAGTTATTATTTTTATACTTTCCAAGTGCAAACTATAATTGTATGCTCACAGATACTGTAATTTTTTTATCAAATAGTTTTAGTTCGGGGTTTAATTTTTCAAGTATATAAATAGATATTTATTATAATTATTTTAGATCAACAAGAGTATTGCTTTTCTGTAAAAAAAAAGGGATATTTTAATCTCAATTTTAGTGCTTTTTAAAATCAGCTTATGAACTATAGTGTTGGGTGTTTAATAAGCAACAAAGTTATATTAATTTTGCTATATGGCAAATTTTGTGTTAATCTGCTATATCTTATTGTTGAGTTATCAAAAACCAACTGAACTTAGGAAAATCTACTTGTAATGGTATAAATGTTCATTATACGTTAAAGGAAAAATAAAACTCCCTAGAAATTTTGTAGAAAATAATCATGTCATACAAGTATAACAACTGATTATCTTGTCCAAATACAAAATACACAACCTAACAAAATTTGGACAAAATTATTACATATCTGCTATGATTTCTAATTTACCTTAACACTGAAAATTGAGATTAAAATATACATTTTTTTAGAGAAAAGCAATACTCTGATGTCATACAAGTATAACAACTGATTATCTTGTCCAAATACAAAATACACAACCTAACAAAATTTGGACAAAATTATTACATATCTGCTATGATTTCTAATCTAACTTAACATGAAAATTGAGATTAAAATATACCTTTTTTTACAGAAAAGCAATACTCTTGATGTCATACAAGTATAACAACTGATTATCTTATCCAAATACAAAATAACCTAACAAAATTTGGACAAAACTATTACATATCTCCTATGATTTCTAATTTAACTTCTATATTAGAAGAGTATAATAACACATCTTAAAGATATGAACTCTATGAAAAGTATACAGTAATATTTTTGTATATACTGAGTTTTGTACTTAAAAACAATTTTAGGTAACTAACAGTTTAGTTTATCTAAAGAACATGTATACATGTTTACAACTGTTAAGAAAACAGAATTTATACTTGTGCTTATTTATTAAAATTTCCTTGATGCTATTTCTTTAAAAACTATTTTTTACAGATTACAATACTTCATCTACATTTGATTAATCATCACGCACAAGATGCTAAGTTGTGTACCATTAATATACGTACTGATTCTGTAAATTTTACAACATCTGAGATGTAAGAAAAAACATTTAGACTTTACTATGGAAAAAAAAACGTTATGCACTGTTTTATAAACATAGCTATCTTACAAGTTTAAAAATACGTGAGCAAATGTTATAAAAAAATAAAGAAACTTTCTACTGTTACCAAGACTACATTCTTTAAACATATACAGATTGAAGAAAAAAAAAAAGATGAACTACCAAAGTTGATTTTAGTTTCAGAAATAAAAACATTGATAGATATACAGTAAACCCTTACCTTTGTATTTCACTGAAACAAAATTTACTTTGAGTGGGAAACACACACTGATATACATGTATCTACATATCAGGAAATAAATTTCATGTAGGTTCCTTGTTTTTATATATGACAGAGCTGTAACATTTAGCTTTGTGAATATTCTACATGAATTGAGTAACATGATAAGACTAAAACGTAAACAAGCCACTCATGCTGTACAATACTACATTACTTTTATTACTTAAAAGAATTGTACATAAATTTGTTGTAAAATGACAGGTTATTTGGTAAAATCCTAAACACTCATATTACGAAGATGACTGACGTTACATACAGTATGTTAGATTGTATTCAACCAGCAAAACATGAGAACTGACTATTAAAGTACACAACATGAACACTGTCTTCTAGAAAAATGAGCTATTTAACATGTATAAACTGACATTACATATATATGGATACTTCTACACCTTTGCATAAGATATAATTAGAAAATAAATTTACCTTAATAAATACTGTACATTTTAAGCATACTTTGAGCTTTTAATAACAAGTATTGCAAGTTACGAACACAGCAGAGACGGTTTCTTAGTGCAAATAAAGTTTAGTTACACACTTCAAGTAACCTTATCAAGAACATAAAATGCAGAACCCACTCTATGAAGCTAGTTAGCATTAGTCACAGCATCATTAGATTTAAGTTGTAGTTATCCAGTTTGTATTTTGCTAACTATTAGACAAGTTAATATTTGCCAATTTTTATGATGGAACTAAAAATTACTCAAGCTTAGTTACATTTGTTACTACTGTAATGTGTCACAAGCTTAGCTACATTTGTTAATACTGTAATGTGTCACAAGCTTAGCTACATTTGTTAATACTGTAATGTGTCACAAGCTTAGCTACATTTGTTAATACTGTAATGTCTCAAGCTTAACTACATTTGTTACTACTGTAATGTGTCACAAGCTTAGCTACATTTGTTAATACTGTAATATGTCAAGCTTAGCTACATTTGTTAATACTGTAATGTGTCACAAGCTTAGCTACATTTGTTAATACTGTAATGTGTCACAAGCTTAGCTACATTTGTTAATACTGTAATGTGTCACAAGCTCAGCTACATTTGTTAATACTGTAATGTGTCACAAGCTCAGCTACATTTGTTAATACTGTAATGTCTCAAGCTTAGCTACATTTCTTACTATTGCAATGTGTCACAAGCTTAGCTACATTTGTTAATACTATAACTTGTCAACTTTAGCTAATTAATATTGCAATGTGTCACAAGCTTAGCTATATTTGTTAATACTATAACTTGTCAACTTTAGCTAATTAATATTGCAATGTGTCACAAGCTTAACTAAATTTAATATTTAAATGTGTCACAAACTCAGGTAAGTTTGTTCATACTGTAATAAGTCACTTGCTTAGCTATAGTATCATAATTTAATGATACAGAAAAAATTAAAAATAAACCCTAATGGCTTTTCCTAAACTATATTTCTGGCAGACAGAGACAATTCACAATATTAGTTGGTTTATTTTGTTGAATTTTTTGGATTAAGCTACTAGAGAACTATCTGTGTTAGATCTCTCTGATTTTGAAGTGACAGTTTATAGGGAAGGCAGCTAGACAATATCATCCAACATCAACTCTTTACAAATGAACAGTAGGATTGAGTTTTTCATTAATCGATTTTGGAAGAATTAACAACAGGATTAACCAGAACAACCAATTTTCTTGACTATCAATTTAATCTTAATTTCTGTTAGTTGACTGTTGGAATAATCAAAATGGTAATAACTGGTAACACTAATTGCAATTAGTTGATAATTTTCATGACATTAATCAATTAATCATAAACTAATTAATATAATCATTGGTCATACGTAATTGATTTAATAGTTCAAGTCTAGTCATTATATGAAACTCTTCGAACACCCACCTTTTGAGGTTCTTTAGCTTTCAATCCCATTACTTTCACAGGGGCCATATCTGCCTGGAGTTGCTCTAAGGACACTGTCTGTAATATCAGTGTTGCAGGAAGAAGAACAAATGCATTGTTACGTACTACCTGGTTAAAAATGATCGTGTCTACTACGGAAAATAATACATAGGCTTCTACTCGTCCTTCCTGTGGATAAAAATTCATGTTCTTTCCATGTAATCCAATAGTTTTATATACGGCATAGCTTTCATAAGCCTAAATAAATTTATGCAACTTATAATTAATCTAGCAGTTTATCAAATACTTATTAACTTTAAGCAATTACTAGTACATTTTTACATCATAGGTTTAAAGAATTCAATTTGTCTAAAAATCCCCATTACAAAAAAAAAAGGCATGTAGCCAGTATCTTGACACTATCAATGTAATTCTCATCAAAACAACATTCTCCATACAGTGCATAATCCTATACACAAAAACAATGCTGTCTGTCTCCAAAAAAGGCTTTATAGAAGAGAAAGATTTATGAATCTTATCAACACTATACAACCAGTTATTGCCTAACATACATATATATCAGTTTCAAACACTGAATTTAAATCACTATCTTCTCTGAACTTTAATAAGTCTTTAATAACTTGTATTTGTTGCCAATTTACTTTTTAAAACAATACGTTGGAGAAAACCAATCACTTGACAGTACAAGTAAGTCAGTATTCAGAATTATACCAGCTGTTCGACAAATGTGAGCTCTCACGTACAAGTTTATCAATCAGTACTTGTAATTCCTGCAGTTTTCATCAAGTCTTTCTCCCACATTCACACAAGCATGTTCTACAAACTGACAAATCAGTTAAAAAAGTTTGAATAGGTGTATACATTAAACAACAAATCAAGCATTATTAGTTTAAAAAATAAAGCAATCAACTACAGTAATATGTGGTATGTTTATCCAAAACACCTCAAATACATTTCATCCAAAATCGACAAAACAAATTTCATGCACTTACCAAATTTCTGCCACAAATAAATTTGTATCTACATGCTTGTTGATGCCACAAGCAAACTAACTAAAAACTGATATTATTCACAAAAAATTCCGAGAAAAACTTACATAAAGACGAACTAATTACTACTGACTATCAAAGTAAGCAGGCTCAGACAACCGTTCAGTGAGCACAATGGTAAAGCCAGTATCATTTTACCATATGAAATGTCAACCATCATTAAATCTCATTACTACACGCCTTGTCAACTCTTGTATTTCACAAGTAATATAACTAATATAGAAATCTGACATTCTCTCATGCCCAAAGGTCGACTGTGAGAAAATATATATATATCTTCTACACTCAAACTATTACACCTGACAACTTGATGAATATAAACACAAATTAACACAATAATGTAATGTTTAATTATACATATTCCACACCAATTATATACAGTACGTTTTCTATGAGATATCAAATCTTAATCTTCCGAAAAATAAAACTCACTTGCACAAATATAGATACAGAAAAGACAAATGTTTCCACAAAGACAATTAACAATTATGATATCTTACTGTATGAAGGTTCTATATTTCAGCTCCACAGGTTTTAGTTAATTCTACCGTGTTATTTGCTGACACGAAACAAAATATTACAATAAATGCAATTGTTATTACTTTGTTAAATTAATAATGCCGTAAGGACAAGAAAGAATAACATAACTTACTTTATATAGCTTAACATAATAAAAAAAATTAAGGAAGTCTGAAAAACTTTCACTTCACAATGATCTTAATACTTATCTTCAAAGTACATTTTAGTGTTTACTCATCAATTATCATTTCAAAAATTCAAATTTACCTGGACTTCACTAATACCAATGCTGTCACTGGCTAAGCCAAGCTGTTTTGCAAGAGAGTTTTTTAACTTCTGAATAATTCTGTGTGTGAGGTGATTTTGTTGACCATCAAGAACCTATAAACATGAAAATCAACATCATACAATGGTAAAAAAAGAGAAAAAAAATGATAGAATAACCATAAAGAAAAAAACTTACAATGAATAAGTACAATTATGATTATAACTGATAGTCTATAAATGAAGCTTTAAACTTAAAAACAGGAGTGGCCTCGTAAGCTAAATATGAACCAGCCATACATGTAATTTCCAAGTAAAAATATCAATGATAACTGCTTTAACAATCTCCATATTATAAATAACAGCACAAAAAACAAACTACATACTTTAAAAAACATATAAACAAGTCCCTGTTTGTTCTTTATCTTTAGTTGGGTCAACAGTACATGTAGCATGAGTAGGTTTAAAAATAAAAGTTTGGAAAAAATCTAATTAAAACTAGAAAAATCCAAGAGCCACACTGAGAACCTATAACTAATGAACAGTGTCAACCACAAATTAACACCACTCCTCAAAACTTGGCAATATAATGTTTCTCTTACCATAATATTTAAAATATAAAATTTCTAACTCAGATTTCAGAATGTTCGAAGAACAATCTTAATAATAAGCACTGCAAGTACATCTAAGTCGTAGATCAACTTGTGTTACACACACAAAATATGTACTTCATACAAAATCTTGCATGAAAATACAGATTAAATTTCTTTGTATGTTAATGACTCATAATCTTGTGACAACAGTTTACTGCAGCACATACAAATCAACAGTATACATTAATGTTACTTACAGTAGATGGATGATTAATACACACTGTTACTAATACTACTATAAACCTTGAAGAAACAAGTCTTAATATGTATTACATATACTGTATTTTTACAGAGGTACTAGCATGTCTGTTTTACTCACATTAATACAAAACATTAAATGTACCTAAAATATTACATGTATGTAATAGTAATTTTTTTTTCTGTGTGTAACAGCAGGTTAAATATTGTACACACTAAAATGTTGAAGTTAAATATTTCAAATAAAATGTGCACCATCGACAAAAAATTTAATCTTCTGTACATATATATATATATATATATATATATTTATTGCATTTCGTGGACCCCAACTATCGCGTTATAACGGGATTCCAACTGTATATATACATCATTTTATATTTTTGTTAAAATTCTTTTATTCTCAGTGGTAAAATTATTCTACACTTCAACACTTAGCCTCAAGCATGAAATTACACTTTTCACAATCAATACACATGTAATTATAACATATTATAAACCATAATGATATTATTCCTAAATACGATACGCCACCAATTATGCATTAAAACAGACTTTTTTTTAAATCTTAAACGAACACATTAAACACTTTATCAACAAAAAACTTTCCATGACCAGATAATTAATATCCAGCATTCGAGCACCTATGAATTTGATCCTTGTCACTAGTACAGATAATTTGAAATATACTTATACAATACAGCATTTTAAATACGAATATTTTGGACAGAAGAATTTTAATTATCATTTTTCCAAACACGTTTAAAAATATATTTTCTTTATCTGTACAACCGAATCTACATACCATTCATGAGAAGCTAGAATTTTACAAGTAGCTGAATAAATCTAGTATTACAGAAATACTTTCACTTCTCAATGAAATATTTTAGAAAATCTGGAGAATGAGTTAAAACTGTTAACTACACAAATTTGTATAAACTGAATATCTTCAATTGCTAAACAATTATTAACACTTATTTTGTGATAGAAACATTATTTTAAACAGGTTATTATGATAGCTAATGTATATTCAATGTAATTTAAACTAACAACTGATTAGCATCTAAAATAATAAACATTCATAAAAACTACAGGGAAAATTTTCATAATATGTCAAATATTACGTGCACGGGAACACTGTAATCTGCCAAAAACGTAGCATTAAGATTATGGCACAGTATATATATATATATATATATATATATATATATTTTCTAGTTAAAGTACAAATTCTCTAAAACATTCAAACACCAAACAATTATTTTGACAAAGCATAATTTTTATATTTGTGTTAAGTAAGGTTTGTTTTGTTTTTGAATAAATAAAAATTAATTATTTTCTTAAACTAGAAGTGAAATTATTACAAAGTAATATTTTTAACAACTGCTGCACAAACTTTGTGTCAAGCATTCCCAGCTGTAAATATAGGGTTCATAACAATTTTCTATCAATATCCCAGCTGTAAATATAGGGTTCATAACAATTTTCTATCAATATTCAAGCACCTATACGTATTAATATTTATGAATACAATGTTACTTTAGGAGAGGAATTGACACTCCATAATTCAACAGTAGCGTAGACTGCACTCTAAACTGAAACAGGTGTACACTTTGCTTTGCAGTTTGGAGATTGAAAATCAATAACACTGTAATGCATATTTGATGTACAATACATGTATTTCTGCACGACCAGAAATTGTCAGTCATCAAAACAGTGTGATAACTCCTCTCTACCTGGTGTTTTTCAGCAATGGGAGTATAAATAAATTTATTCTGTTCCGTAAACAACACAGAGAAAATTAACTTAGATAATTTGCTTTATTGACAAGTTTTTACTCTTGACTAAAGAATGAATTAACTATCATTAAAAAATATAGCTATGATGTTTTGAGTGAAATTTTGCTCTCATATTTGTATTAATTAAAAATCAAACACTTAATGTTATCAAAATAAATTAGATGCTCAATTTTTTTATGAAATCTACCAGATAATGAAGAAATGACATTCTTAATTTATTTATTATTTTAAAAAATGTAACAAAAGCATTCTCAAACATTATTGTGTATATAGCATATTTACAAGCTCTGTAGAAATATATTAAAAACCAACCATACACTAAATAGTGCTTTAGCCAAGCCATGTTGTAAAAGGTTTTAAGTCTTAAAAAAATATTCAAAGCGATAAACATACTGACATCTACAGTATACCAGTTATCACATCTTTAATTTACCTTAATCTTTTCTACTTTTCAAAATCAGACTGATTATCTTTTACATACATACACATTTGGATTCAATGAATTCCTTACCTAGTTTGAATGAAATTAACGAATGTGCATGTTGTCAGCCAATGGGAGAAGTAATGTTAACTATAATTCTGAATTTGTGTGTATCTACACAACATGGTAAGCTTTTAGTAAAATGTACAAGTCTATTGTACACAAAAATTCAAATTTGTACTCAAGATATGTCTTTGAATTGACAATATTGAACTGATTCAGACTCTTGATAAGTTGGAACGCAAGGTGATGTCCATGTGAAGAATAAAAATTCTTTTCTTCATTGTAGAGATTGAATATTGTCTAACCTCTTGAACCTCTGAAATACATACCTACAATTTTTTTCAGCATCTCTGTATATTGCATCAGGTATTCATTCTCCTCTATAACACTGTCAGTAAATCGGTAATGTACAGTAAAGTGAATAGCTGGTAACACTGGCATCAAATACACAATATCATGTTGGATGGCTCTTTGTAAAAGTTCATGGCATGCACACTTTGACCCCCACTTATGCATATAAGATTAATCTGGAGAGTATTTTCCAAATTTTAAAGGTTAAGCAAAGATTCTTGCAAACTTCAACATATTTAAAATGTACAGAATCTGAATCAGATGTGAGCACAGAAAAGTTGTCATAAAATATAATTACAAAGTTTACATCAAAGATAAAAATCTGAAATAAAAGATTAAATTAAGCATACTTGCTAAACAACTATTAATTTTCCTTTCAAAAAATATGATAAATAAGGAAGTACAAAAAACGTTTTGTATCCAATGTATTAAATGTCACAAGATGAAATTACCTATCTTCAAAAGAACTGCTTTTACAGAGGGTTTTTAATTTTCTGTGACTGCACTGTTTTGTCATTATCTTACATTTGTTTCAAATTTCAAGCTGAAGCCACCTCTGTTGAAAAACCTTATAAATACTTGGATTATTTTAACTTACTTTAATTCCAAAGAAATAGAAGTCAGAATATCATATCTCATGAAATAGTCAAATGATCTTAAACTTTGTACATTTGGTTTTACGTTTTTAACAATCACATATAATATTAGCATAACTACCTGAAATGTTTTATACTGCAGTCATTTCCTCAAATTGAGGTATCACTTACAGATAAATGAGCTGCAGCTTTCCGAAAGCACAAAATCACAGATAATAACATACACGTACCTGTAAACCATATTTATGTATACGTCTTTTTTTTTAAAACACACATCTGTAAGTGCACATTTGGTAGATACAACATTGGAAGAAATTACTTTGAACACGCCCATCAAAAATTACATGGCATACCCTAATATTATGTATGTTTATTGATCACTTTTAAGTAATAATTAATGGCCTGCTCTGTATTCTCCTTCAATCTATTGCTCAATAAACTTTCCTTTATAAGCAGTGAAAGTCAATAAATCAATAGACTTAAACCTGAATTGAATGAACAGAATGGTGCACTGTGTTTATTAGTAAATCTGAGTGTTAGCAATGCCGTAACTATGTACATTTTAATGTAAATAATGCAATAACTAAGCACATAAAAATAACCGTGTTCTAATTCACTACCTGCCAAACCAATACTGACATTTCCAGATTGTCAGAATAAACAGAAAAGCTTTTCATACTTATGACTCTAAAAGTTCTTTATCATTACAAACAGTATAAATCCATAATATTTAATAAATGTAGTTTAATGACAAATTACCTTACAAATTTGTGCAGAATGTAACCAAACAACATACAAGGTTTCAAAAGTTACCTTAAAAAAAGATTAGTTCAGTCAGCTTAAAAATAAATATAAAAATAAACAGTAAAATAGCAATAGCATTCGACAGAGGTTAACCACAAAGATTTTAGATTACAACAAGAACAGATGCATATATATTGTGTATGTACACATACTTAATGCTTACAATAAACATTTATAACTAAGTAATTCAGACCTACCACCTCAATCTTGTAATAACTGGGGATTTGCTGTGATGTCGAAGAAGACTGATCGTGAACTGCGGTTGCCCAGTTAGATAAATAGGCAGAATCATAAGTGTGTGGCACTACCTGATCTTTCACTGCTATTAAATGTTGAGATGATCTGATGTTTTCACATTCTGAAAGTGTTTAATTCAACTAGTTTAAAAACAAGAGAACTTCATACACTAGTACATGTGAAGACTAGTTTAAAAACAAGAGAACTTCATACACTAGTACATGTGAAGACTAGTTTAAAAACAAGAGAACTTCATACACTAGTACATGTGAAGACTAGTTTAAAAACAAGAGAACTTTATACACAAGTACATGTGAAGACTAGTTTAAAAATTAGTTTTTCTTCATGTGACTTAATGCCTAGTTTGTTTTGTTAATTAAAAGTTCTTAATTAGTACATGTTCATAACAACAGGAAAGCATCTGACATGGACCCATATTAGTTTACCTACGACCGGGAAATTATCAAACTGTGAACTCGCCTGTGGATGCTGAATGTTTGTCTGCTTTTGTGCATAAAAAACTAACTCTAGTATGAATTAAGTACAACTCTATGTAGTAATGCTGGTCGGGCATAGCTCAAATTTTGTAGTAGTCAATGTGTTATCTTCTCACAGATGATTAAGCAACTTGGTTGGCTCTAAACAGTCTTGGACAACACCAATTGTTATAAATAATAATCTATTATTGGACTTAAAAAGAAAATGGTGCAGCCAAAGCTCCTCCAGTTGAATAAAACACCTTCTACATATTGAACACAAGGAAAACGTGAATATGTTACTGAAGATTTGTTTTCACTAAAGTATGTGTGTTATTTTATAGCAAAGCCACGTCGAGCTATCTGCTGCATGCACTGATGGGAATCTAACTGCCAATTTTAGGGTTGTAAATACATAGACTTATCGCTGTCCCACTGGGGGACGTGTGGATTAAAGAAAAGATGAATCCATGGACTGAAACAAACAATACATATACTTGAAGATAGCTTTTATATACAGAAACATCTGTGTATAAAAGTTATTTTTTGTACAACAAAAAACCTTTTTCAAATTCATATACTAAAAAGTGTGCACCAGATATATGAGCTTTTTATACCTGTAATGTATGAATGTTTGAATTTCTGATATCAACCAAAAATATGTTTACAAACTAATGGGAATAACTTACTTTAAAAGATTTAGAAATTATCCTATGTTCTATAGAATTCTATATGCAAATAAAGTACATACTTGTACTATTCAATAAGAAACAGTAACATATCTATTATATAGTGAACAATTAAAATTTTTAAACCAGCTGTTTCCCAGAGAACATAGAACATGACAGAGAACATCTCAATTGTCGTGTCCAAAAATGGCACTAATTAAAAACACTTCACGTAATATATCCACCAAAAATAATTTTAAAATGTTAACTAGTTAATAAACAAGCACTTGTACTGTTTATCCCAAGACAAACTATAGTATATAGAAAAAAAAAAGGCTTGAATTACACACACATGTAAGATCATTCCAGTACTAAAGTAGTACTTAAAAGATATGTTGATGTCTTCTATTAGTAGAACTTACAATAATGTAAATACTACCACACAGATGGTATTTTTATGAAGGAAGAAGTAACCAGAATGCTGTTTTAAGGGTCACCGGACACCTTTAAAAACAATCATGTACTTGAATATTTTACTCAAGTTGACTGAAGAACTTCTTGCATGCATGGAAGTAATACATTATGTAAGTTCTGACAGCTGGATGAGAGAGACATGTCAACAATTCAATTACATGCATGTCCAAAACTATACAACCTATACATGTACATAGACCTACATGAATTGTCCATTTGGCAATGCAAGACAGTTGTTTGTTGTTGTTTTTTATCATTCAAAAAATCCCCTTCAAAGTTTTGGAGTTGTTTGATAAATAATTCATAGAATACCCAAGTATGTCCAATCAATACATTTCATATCTAATTTTCCAACAGCGACGAGGCGGTTATAGTGAATGTGTAGTATGTGATACATACACGCATATAATGTGTGCACATTTTTATGCAGATGTGCACCATATTGGTTAAAACATGCATGTGTATAATCAAACAAACCAACTTTATCTATCAATTTTCAAAACCTATTTACTACAGAAGCTTACAAGCTTTTTTTCAGAGAAGATTTACTCTAACCAAATTCTAAATACATAGGGATCAGAGTCATAAAAATCATGTTCAAATATCTTGATCACATTAATCAACATGTTTACAAAAATCTTAAGTTTGTTTGCTATAAAGGATGTAAGATACATGCGGACAGTAACTGTACAACAGACACTTATCCTAAGAAATTAAGTAATGTTACATTACACAATCCATAATTATAAAGAGAAAGAAAAAATAAGTAAATGAAAGTTTGAGTTATTTAAAGCGGTTGAATTTTGTCTTTTATCGGTAGTTTTGGTTACATTCAGCTACATTGCACACATAATACCTATGAGGGAATATTTACATGCCAAGGTCAAACCTCTCCTTCAACTATAAAGGTCAAAATAAATCAGAAGTGTAGTTACATGTCAGATTATTATCATCATAACCACAGCAAGTCCATATTGTGATTGAACTTCTCACTATGTTGTTAATATTCATACCCAGGTGAAACCACATGTATGTCTAATTTATTAACTCTTTTAAACTCATAATATTTTGTGTGTTCTGCCAGGATTATTTCCATGATGTCCTAATAATTATCATACCTAATCAAATTTCCAGTCTATTTATAAAATGTGGATAATAACATGATTTAGATTAGTTTTCAGCCAAAGAAATATAAATGTTATCAGATGCCGATGGGTAAATTGGGATTTTCGGCCAGATGCCTGTAGCGTCTGCTCAGGTTTAACCCGATGACCGCCAGCTAATAACTTTCCGAGTAGCCAGTGCAAGTGTTGCTATATTTCTTTCCAACAATAAAACAAGTGAATGAATATGTTTGAAACTTCATAAAAACTTTCATAAGGATTTTCGGCCAGATGCCTGTAGCGTCTGCTCAGGTTTAACTCAATGACCGCCAGCTAATAACTTTCCGAGTAGCCAGTGCAAGTCTTGCTATATTTCTTTCCAAGAATAAAATAAGTGGATGAATATGATTGAAACTTCATAAAAACTTTCATAAATGCACGTAGTTTAAGAAACATAAAGCCTGTTACTTTTGATTAATTTAGTTATTTTCCATTATGATCTTTAATATCTTGGAAAATTACATTAGGAAATAGTATTGATAAGAAATAATTACAATATTTATATTTGTTCCAGATTTGAACTTATTACTTTTTATGTTTTAGTACATTATTTTGAAATCCCCAAAAATTTGTATTGTCCATAAAATTTACATTTTATGTATTTTTAATTACCACATACTCTCCTTATGGTTTCAAGTAATATACAAGACACAAAAATAATATTTGTAAATAAACCTAAACAATAAATGAGTTTTTATTTTTAACTAGGATTTCATGTACATAAAAAACATTTTAATTTTATTTCATAAATGTATTTGTTATTTCAAGTTTATGTTTCATTGCAGCCATACTTTTGTTTATTGTGCCAAATAAATCGTGAGGTTAGCAGCGTGAACTTCGTACATTTGCCGTGAACTATCATGCCTGTTAGTGGTCACTCTCGTTCAGTCCAGCACAGGCGCCTTTCAACATTACTGTAGATATGATATTAAGAAAGCTTTTCAGTCAACATATGTCCGTGTATGTTGTTTCACTATACAGACAAAACTAATTGCCACTACTAGTGAATATATGTAATAGTTTACAGTACAGGTGGTATCAATAACACCGCCTGACCCTAGTTACTTGATACATCCTGTTAGAAGAGATTACCAAACAATGCAGACACTATAAATTATAAAGAAAATTACTTTACAGCACTTAAAAGATTAGTCCTGGTCACATTCCTCTCATTATAGGCAAGATTTATGTTGGAATTCAAATCTTAAGCTCTTCAGTGTATAAAGAATCCATTTTTCATCACCAGTGACAATTCCGTCAAAAATTGTTCACGCACATTACGTACCAGAAGAGACAAGACAACGTTCAGATGTTGGAAACAATGATCATTGGAGAGTTTGTGAGGCACCTAAACACCTTTATGGAGTTTTCCCATATTCCGTAGATGTTTACGTATTTTTTCATGAGAGACATGCAATTTCAGGGCCATTTCACAAGTGTTTTGCCTTAGGTTAGACTCAACAAGTGTCTTCAGAGCATCAATTCTAACATGTCACCTCTGCCATCACAGTTTGTAAGGCTAAAGTCACCTGAATGAAATTTGCTGAACCATCGTTGACACTTATGAACGTTCAAAACATTTCCATAAACTTCTTTGTTCTTTGTGGCTACAGAAGTGTTCTTGTGTCCAAATGGCATTACATGCAGAATGCGTGTCTCATCGTGTGTATTTTACTATAAGGGATTAGAGTATACTAAACTTTACACATTATATAGGCTACTCTAGCGTGACGTTTAGGTGGTTCATGTAACTATTACATGTGATGCATGTTTTTTTTGGGGGGGGGTAATGAAAAGGTTCCAAAATGCAATGTTAATTTCTTGACGAGCTAATACATGCTAAAGATGGGCTCCAATTAGGCAGGCTAGATAGTAGGATGTTTGGAGATTCTTTAAAGATACTAGTTAATGAAGTAACAATTGTTAGATTTTGTTCCTTTTCCTTCTTTCTTTTGTTATCAAATCCCCAATGACCTAATTGGATACTAATTGCTTAACCTGCTTTTAGGAAGGTAATAATTAGCTCATTTAACTTATTAAGTATTTATCTCTTTAAATTCAAAGCCAAAAGTCTATAAAAAAAAAAACATTGCATCTTACTCTGAGGTATTTTAATCCCTCCCCTCTCAGGCACAAAAATCCTAAAAACAAAATAGTCTGCATACAACATTGGACAGTTTCCAGTTACCGTACAAAAAATAACGATGATTGAGAGCACACACGCTGGATCATCTTTATAGTAAGATTCATTGAAGATGGTTTAAATTAAGCTTGAATATTGATGAGGGGGAGATTGGAGATAAACAGTTGACAAATATTACTTGCTTCTCCACATAAGAT